GCCTTCTAATTTTTTTAAGATTGTCCTGCTGTTAAAGATTTGCTTGTTTAAAATATGTTTTAGAAATAGGTCATTGATATATGAAAAATGCCTTGTGTATGATGGTTTTACAGTGAATTTATGGATTAGTTTGGAGAGAGTTGTCATCTTAACCACAAACCTTCCAATCCCTGACACAGCATACCTCTACATTCATGTCAGTTTTTTCAGCAATCCTTCATAATTTTAAATGTACTGCCTTTACAGATTGTGTTTGTTTACAGGTGCCAAGTCTTATCAATTCATGAGGAATAATGTGTGCTCTTACAGCTAATCCAAAGAAGAATTAGAAGTATAAAATGTCTTCAAAATTTAAAATAAGATATGGAACTCTGAGATGAATTCTTAAGTATATGCCACCCTGGGAAGCAAGTTAGTATCCTGAGGCCTATATGCAGCTTCAGTTTACAGGACAAGCTTCTGTAGCAGAATTCATTTCTCTTAGACTCCCATTTTTTTCAACTCATGTTGTGAATAGCTTGATGGTAATATTAGCTGTGTGTGGTAGAAAAGATACAATTTTCCCTTTTATTTGTGTTCATGTTCAAGGCTTCTGAGGCCAAAATACTTCCACTTTGTAATTGTGAAGTGCAGGTTTCAGGGTGACCACTGCCTTTTTAAGTCTGTTATGCCAATTGGCATGACTCTTGTCTAGTCACAGCACTTAACTAATCACTGCTGGATAAGCATCTCTGAGTAGTTTTACCCACACTTAGATCAGGAGGCTTCTAGAAAATAAGCCTTCTTCCTGCCCATTAGAGGTCTGTTGGTCCCTAGTCTTTGTTTTGTGGTGTGAGGGCTCTGGTTGTGTATTCGTCTTCTGAGATTCTCAGCAACTCAGCCTGCGTTGCTGTTCTCAAGAGGAGCTCAGGGTTTCAGATGGGCCACCAAAAATTGAGAGCTACACTCTTTCCAGCAGAGTGAACTTGGTTCCTGAATACCAGGGCTTCTTGATCTCCCCACCCCCCATCTTCCTTTTTCATGTGCCCTGTTCCTTTTGATCTGCTGTCCAGTGTCATGCTGGCCTGAACAGTGTGTGGTGAGTATAATATCTTGCCAGAGCTCTTAGGGGACATTTCAGTAACTTACTCCACTCATTAGCTTATTCCCCCCACACACAATCTAAGTTGTCCTATGTTTTATTTATACATAAATAGCATGTATTACATAAAAAGTATGTATTCTCTTTACAAGAAGATTACATAGTACACATGACATTAAAGCTCCCTGTATTGCCACTCCTGACCCCAGCTCTGACATGGCGGTGAGCAATCCATGATGTATTTGGGGTGCAGCTTTCTAAAATATGTTCTGTAGTAGTAGTAGTAGTAGTAGTAGAGCTGGGTTGAGCTATGTCCCCAACCCTAGGGTAGATAATGTAAGAGTATCCTTTGTACTCCTTTCCTAGGATGCACATTTGTGCAAGCACTTTGGTACATGCAGTCATGCTCTCTGCTTGAGCCCTTTGCTAAGCATCCTTTGTAATGGCTCATGTGATTGGTCCTTCTGCAAGAGCAGTGTCCCAGCCTCTGTGCCTTTGCTGCCTTGCTTAATCCATAGGCAGGGCTTGAAGAATAGGAGATTCTTCCTGTAGTTCTGGAGACAATTCTCTACCTCTGAGGCTGGCTCTTTTCCTATCTTCTCTTTTTCTTTGGTCCCGATCTTGGGTCCAGAACCTGGATACTGTCACTGAGCTTTTGTGCTCAAGGATAGGACTCTACCACTTTGAGTCCCAGTGCCATTTCTGGCCTTTTGGTAGTCAACTGGAGAGAAGAGTCTCAAGGATTTTTCTGCCGTGGCCTTGCTTTGAACTTTGACCCTCAGGTCTCAGCCTCCTGAGTGAATATCTGGGATTACAGGCCCAGTGACTATTTTGCTTAGCAAAGAAAGTTGATTTTTATATAACCTGTGCAGCCCAAGAGAACTCACTTCTCTGTGGAAGCGAGTGGTAAATGGTGAGCAGTGAGTGCTGGAGTAGTACTGAGGAACACAAAGGAACAAGCTACAGTGAACCCAACAGTCTCTGCGGGTATCTGGATCATTAGCCAATCCTTAACAGTCTCATTTAGTGTCAGATGGTAATTGTGACATCATTTTGTCCAATGTCAGCTTGAGTGCGGCTGGTAAACCCTTTATATGATCTCTACTGTTTTCCACAGAGGCATGCAAGTCTATGATTCTGTCAGACTGAGGAGTTTAGAGTCATACCCAACAGCAACCACAGAAAGGAAACCAACACAGTAATGGGGCCACAGAGTTAAGAAATGTAAGACTATATAAAAATTCATTTTCAGAGATCACATTTCCCCCTCACTCAATTAGCTCCCTACATAGGCTAAGTGTGAATATACTATTAACTGAGCACCACAGACATTTGAGTGGAGTTCTTATTAGATGGCAACATCTAATAAGAGAGAATATTCTCAAGGATTTTCCTTCCTCAGCTGCTTTCATTGTGTGTGACAAAGTTAGGTGTTAGGAAAAACCTCAATATAGGAGCACATGTAGGTATGGAGCAGACATTTATGCCTCCTCACTAAAGTCACTTTTACTATCCTCCTGTTATTACACTTATGAAATTGCTTCTTTTTTCTAGGAAAAGAACTTGTCTGTGCTTCAATATGCATAAGAAAAAAACCCCCACAGGTCTTTCACTGAAAAGATCACTGAAGATGCAGAGGATAGACATAGTATGTGATGACCCTTCCTCTAGGAATAAAGGATGATGAGGAAGACATTGCGGTCTGAGGTACCTCAGTGAAGAAAGAAATGGCTGTGAACCTTCTGTCCCAGCAGAGCTAGTCGGGACATTGGGTTCCAGTCAGGTGGGGCAGCTGTCAGAATGTGTCTTGTCTCCTGGGACTGTCTTCATGTCTGGGTCGAGTGGGACTAGGGATTCTTTGGTTTCTGTGTCTGCTCACAGGTGAACATCTCAAGTGCATGTGGTGCTTTCTGCTCTCCACAGTGACATGTCCACAGCTGCCTTGTCAGGGAAAAGGGTTTTTTGCTAGGCTTCCTGAATACTCTGTGACAGAGAATGGGCCCGCCCAGCCTCCTCTCCTCCTGCTGCTGCTTGCAGCAGGTAACACTACCACACAGTGTTCCCTGGTAGCCATGGACCAAGTGTGCCCATCAGTGCTTTCTGTGCGGATGTTCTAGAGCTTACCAAATTCTTGCTCTTCCCAGTGCTGTCAGGAGGAAGTTGTGTTGCCAAAATATCTTAAAAGTTGTGCAAGAGTCCCCGGGGCATGAATCCCCAGCATTGGCTCCATTAGTTAATTCAGGTGACCTATTTCTTAAGAGCTTAGATGGGTTCTCTGATCTACCCCCGATTTGTCTAGGGAGGGTTCTCCCAGGGGTCTGTCTCCCCCATATTCTCTTGAGTGCTGGCCAGCAGTTCCTTCCACCCCACCTGCCAGGGTGCTGGCTAGAAAATGAAACCCGAGGACTCTGTACAATGGTTTGCACACGGGTTGGTGGGTGGGTTGGTTTTTCCATCCATGTCTGCATTAATTTAGACCATTTGTGTGTAGTCATTGGGCAAAAGAGAGGAGATGGGCTGGCCATGTTCTTTGGATTGAAAGGCTCTCCCTCATGGATTCCTGAGCAAGAGAGCTTCTGGTAGGACCTTTTGTGTACTTCCAGCCCAAGGAATGGTCTCTTCAACATGTACTCCTGGGTAGTTCTTCCCCAATGGACCCAGGTAACCGCTGGAATATGCCCTTCCCTTTGTGTGTGCCTTTGCACTCCTGACCTCTCAAAGTCCATGCACCCTGGGAGAATGCAAAGAGGATTGCCAGGCTTTCTCTTTTACCCTGTGAGTTTTGTTCTCTTTCATTTCCCATTGGGACACAGAGACCTGTGACCTGAATCAGAGCTTTCCTCCTCCTCCTTTTTGTCTTCCTACTCCTACTCCATGTGCAGATAAGAAGCCACCAGCAAGGGAGGTGAGCAATCTAGAATAAGGTTGTCTAGTCTGTTGGCTGCCAAGAACAAGGAGAGGTATGGGGCGGGGGTGTCCTCTGAAAGCTAGCTGTTTGAGGACTGTGCTCCCTAGTAGACAGGCCCAGTGACTGTACCACCTTGAAAATGACTTGAGTCCACAGATTAGAACTGTTTGGATTGGGGTGCGGGGGGCGGGGGGAGGTTGGCTAGAGAGTGGTTATTGTGTACCTTGTTTTCCTAGAAATAAACTTTAGTTGTAAGAAGAGTAGATATAAAGGAAACAGCAGGTCATATGGGATAGAAGGCAAAGGATTAGTGAGGCAAAGGGCAGGTGTGTGGCAGGGGCTGGTGCAAAGTGGAATTTAGCTCTAGAGTTGGCTGAAGAGTAAGGAGGAAGTTTCCATGTATGTAGCAGATTGTGGTCGAGGCATTTGTGCTGGTGCCTATTGCTCTAATGCTGAAGATGATGAGGAGTTGCCAGTGCTGGCCACAGTGCTGGTGTAAGGTCCGTGGATGCTTAGACAGCTGGAGCTGGTCCTGCAGCTGCAAGCAAAGCAGAGAAGATCCAAAGTCCATGTTGGTATAGGGATACAGTCCTGCCCACTGCCTTGCAGAAGGAGCTCTGCTTACTAAGGTACCCTGAGGTCGATGTAGGTCCTGATGACACTCATGAAGTTATTGACCTTTCATGATGTCATCTCCCCACCACACCCAAAAATACTCTGCTGTCTGTTTTCCATATAGTATGCACACTCCTCCTCTGTGCTTGAATAACCTTGTCTTGTATACATAGTAGGATTCTTTTCTTTCCCACAGAGCCAAAGGGCCAACCTTACCCTCAAGTGTGACTGATGCATCAAGAGGTTCCAGATATTCTGGGCATGTTTTTGACATATATATCCAGCCCTTCTCTCCACTTAACTTTTCGTTTCAAAAGTTATCTTTCAAAATCTTCAGTGAGCTTTGAGTTTTTTGCATGTGCATCCAGCCCTTCTTCCCATGCTATTTTTCCTTCCAAATGATATCTTCTGTATTCTCTTGTCTGGTTGAAGGCATGTCACACAGCTCCTGAAGAAAATATAGGGATAGGGTTGACAGCAATTCTTTGATGTCCCCTTTCTGGGTAGTGCCCATGTCTGTCCCCACCCAGCCCAGCACAAGTTGTTGGGGTCCTGGGTCACAGAGGAGTTCCATATGGAAGGTTCCCTAGTTGGTTCAGTTTAAAGCCCTCCCTTCTAAAGGAAGCCTCTCTATCTCTCTACCAGTTGGACACTGGTCTGTCAATTCTGTCTTACAAGGAAATTGTGTTGTGCACATATACTTGTGCATGTTGTTACCTACCTACTTGCTTGCCTGCCTGCCTTCCAGTACTGGGGCTTTGAACTCAGGAGTCTCATGTTCTTACTTGGTTTTTCTTTGTTTTTTGTGGGTTTTTTGTTGTTGTTATTTGTGTTGTGTTGCACTAGTGCCTAAAACTAAGGGTCTGGGCACAGTCCTTGAGGATATTTGCTCAAAGGTATTGTTCTAATCCTTGAGTCACAAGCTGTACTTCTTAGGTTTTTCTCTTATTTTATTGTAGATAAAACTTTCATGGGCCTTCCTGCCTAGGCTAGCTTTACATCGTGATTCTCAGCTCTCCATTTCTCAGTAGCTAGGATTACAGACAAAATTTGAGCCTTTTATTGTTCATGGAGACAATATTCTAATTTATGCTAAAATATTTGGTCAAGATTTTGAGTCCCTCCTCCTCCCTCCTCCCTCCTCCCTCCTCCCTCCTCCTCCTCCTCCTCCTCCTCCTTCTCCTCCTGTTGCGAAGCTTGATTTCTGGGCTTGGTCACTGTCCCTGCACTCTTCAGCTCAAGGTGAATGCTCTACCACTTGAGCTACCAAGCTACTTCCAGTTTTCTAGTGGTTGATTGGAGACAAGAGTCTCACAGACTTTCCTACCCAGTCTTGCTTTGATCCATGATTCTCAGATCTCAGCCTCCTGAGTAGCTAGGATTATAGGTGTGAGCCACCAGCGCCTAGCAAGAGTCCAGGTTCTTCTAAGACATGAATCAAGAGCTTACAGAATTTGGTCATGCTGTCTTGTAAGATCACTTGTACCTCAAAGGATACATGAACAGGCCAGAAATATTCACAGTATATTATGGAGTATATTATGTGCTTTCTGTTTCAAAGTCTGTGTGTAAAAACTGATTACTACCTTGGTTTATGTGACAATAAAAGGCAACTTGATATCCCTGGCAGAAAGCATCTATGAACTCCATGGGCTGGAAGGTAGTCAAGCACAGTTTACACAGGGATACTAAAAAAATTCTCTGCTATGACTGAATCTTAAGTCCATTTTGGCAGTTGGGAGAAATGGCATTGGCTGAGTTCACAGTTTGTATTTCCTACATGAAGATTTTTGAGAAGTTCAGACATTAATTTGCTTGCATTAGTTTCTTCCCTGGGTATGAGCAGTGGGGGTGACAAATCTAACTTGTTGCTTCTCAAGAGGAATAGGCAACTTCATACATAGAAAGTTTGAAGTGTGTCTTTTTTATGGATTTTGTATCTCAGGAGGTTATTGAGGGCTATTGTTTGCTTAGGTGTAAGGTCGAAGTAGTTTCTGAGAAAATACATGTACCTCATACAGTGGTACACGGATTAACAAATCAGTCAGGAAACACAGAATCACATAAAATCATGGCAGTCTCAAAGTATACAAATGCTTCATGAACCAGATTTCTTCCAGAAATTGGAGAAACCAGATTTCTTCCAGAAATTGGAGTTTTTACCTAAATGGCCAATTTTTATCCAATGCTTGTATAAGGCTATTACACTTAGCCTTACTTGGAATCTGACTTCTTTTCCTTAACACAATCATAATGGTAGAACACTTACTTGCTTTGAGGAACTGGGATATCAACTGAAATGAAAGGAATATAGACATCTGCAGGATGACTTACACTTTAATTTTGACCTATTTGCACACGCTCTTAGTAGTCTGACTGACTATTGGAAAGATATGAGAAATCATGGCAAAGTCAAAAGGATCTCAAAACCAAAGGTAAGGTAATTGTATAGAGAACCCCAGCAGTCTTTTCTAGATGTGTATCTCAACTCTGTTTAGGTCATTTATCAGTCATGAAATACTTAATCCAAACAACAGGAGATCCCTTGCATGCAGATTTTAATGCAATCCTACCACTCGTAAGTGTCCACTTGCAACAGATATTAGTTGTTAAGGGCCTACTCTTCTACCACACCAGCAGCAGAATCTGTTGTGCACAATGGACATTGTGGGAGTTTCCTGAGACTGGTGTTACTGTTGTGGGTGAACTCAAACACACATTATGCAAACGCCTTACCACTTAAGCTGTGCTCCTGAGTCCCTTTTTTGGCTTTTCTTAATGTTGAATAAGGTCTCGCTTTTGGCCTTGATTACTAGTGTGCACTGCGATCTTCTAACGATTGTTTCTCAAGTGGCTGAGATGGCAAGTGTGCACTGTCACACCAGGTGTTTTATTGGTCAAGGTGGGTCTCATGGACCCAGGCTCAGGCTGCCTTGAAAGGCAATCTTCCCCCTCTAAGCCTCCTGAGCAGTAAGACTATATAGGTGTGAGCCACTGCAAATCAACTGTGTTTTCTTTTTTTTTTGTGGGGGGGGGGGGGGTCCGGTCGTGGGGCCTGAACTCTGAGCCTGGGCGCTGTCCCTCAGCTCTTCAGCTCAAGGCTAGCACTCTACCACTTGAGCCACAGTGCCACTTCCAGCTTTTTTTTCTGCTTATGTGGTACTGAGGAATCGAACCCCAGGGCTTCATGCATGCAAGGCAAGTGCTCTACCACTGAGCCACCTTCCCCACCTTCCCAGCCCTCAACTGTGTTTTCATAACTAAACCTTATTTAAAAAGAGATAATGGAGGGGGGGAAATGAATGCTCTAAAACATAGTTTTCCAAACTATAACCAGTGAGTTATAAAACCAACTTACTAGATTGTGACCAGCATTTTTATGGGAAGGAATAGAACAGGATAGAAAACATGAAAAGGAAAGCGTCCATTATTTTGGTGAGACAATGCATTACAAGGAGTATAAACTCCATCGCAAGGAGTGTAAACCCCATCACAAAGTCATTACGTTGAATACTTACAAAATTGTGAAAAAAAAAATGTTTAATTAGAATTTACCAACTGAAAGAACCCTCAAAATTACAAAGATTCTAATCATAACTTATTCAATTGAAGACAAGGGGGCACTTACGGCAGGGAGTTCCCCACATCCCCTCGCCCCACTTCAGTGACTTGATGGCAGCAGTGGCCCCTCGGAGCCCAGGTTCCACCTTGGCAGGCTCAGACAAAGGCCTCTCCCCGCTGCCGAAGATGCAGCGCCCTTGGGTGGTGGCAGGCAGGACACAGCGAGGCAAGAAGAATGGCAGAAGCTTTCACAGGCTGGAGGATGGAGACCTCCAATGGCCTTGGAAGCTGGCCAGCATTCTAGGCCATGGAGCCAATAGATCTGGCACCAGGGGTGACCTCCCTGCCCCAGAGGGACCTCACCTCACCACAAAGACAGACAAAGGCCCTTAATGGTCCTGGAAGGTCAGCAGAGCCCTGGATGACTAAGTGCAATGGGTGGTGGCCCAAGCCGTTGTGCCCACCGGAAGCCCCAAAAATTTACTGGCTGCTTGTAGGTCTGTGTATATAATATGAAAAAGCTGCTCTCAACTTCCCCAGCCTTTTAAAAAATGACTTTTAGTCCATCTGAACATCCCAGATGTGAGGAGGTTGCTGATGTATGATGAAGTTGAGTTAGAAAGTCACACCTGTCAATGCCCATTTGTTTGTAAAGACCACAGAAATGTCTTCTGGAAGTGACTTTGAATGGACAGCCTCCAGATGAGATAGCCAGGGAGACACTCATCTATGTTTGTCCTATGGATGGAAGACATGCAACAGAGGACACATAAGAAGGAAAAAGAGAGGACCAGCAAAGTCTTTTTCCAGTGACAGCCATTGATCTGTGGACATCTCATTCCCCTTGCTGTATAGAGTTGACTGTGCTTAAGGACCTTTGATATTCTGAAGTACCTGTTGTATTGTGCCTGTTCTGTTGGTTCAGGTTGTCTAGCTTTGTTGTATATATGTATTTTAGTTAATATTGTTGCATATTAGCAATAAGTAGTAGCTAACTCGTAAATATCTGTTGAAATGAGCAGATCCATTTTGGATGGATTGTGCCACCTCAGGGCAATGAAGTCAGGACTTACTTCAAGGTTGGCAGAGGGTAGGAGGAAGAAGCGTGCAGGGAGACATATGTGCAGCTGTGCTCAGATACTTTGATTACAGCCATTGATGATTATGGTTCTGGTTGTACCATAGGGATGCAAATATTTAGTAGAAACAGTCTTGCTAATACTTTAATAGTATACCATAAAACCTACTAATGAGCTTAGAAATTTCTTAGTATATCTTGCTTTTGTCTCATTTTAAACTGAGCATAAAGAAAATGCAGTATTTTAATTGTAATTCTTCTGTCTAGAAGCCTGATGCCATTTTTGTCTTCAGGGAAATTCTTTCCCTAAGAAAAGCAGAAATACATTTTTTACCAGAAAGATATTTTCTGTAATGCAATGTTACAGGTTATTTAAAAAAAACATAATAAACAAAGCAACATTTTGGTTTCAGGCAAAAAGGGTTGTCTTACTAATTCAATGGAAGCTTCAACAGGCACATTTGGGGAATCTAGAAATAAAACTAAGAATTTTATGTTAATCTTTAATTAAATGTGACTTGGTAGTTTCTCCAGCAAATCAAGTTGACTACCAGGACTAATGAGCACAGGTAGCCTGTATAGAGACATAACCCTTTTTACTGATCTTCCCAAAGAACCAGATTGTAAGTTTCATTGCTTTTCTAACAATTAAGTTTTATTTAAAAGTTTCAGACGCTTTCATTACTGTATAAATTACTTAAGAGTTTCTTTTGTATTGCTTTCCTTACCATTTCCTAAACATTTTAATTACCAATTTCAAATCTCTCTCTCTCTCTCTCTCTCTCTCTCTCTCTCTCTCACACACAAACACACACACACACACACACACACACACAGAGACATACACACATATAACTTTCCATTCTCTAAATTACTTTGTAAGCATTGCTTGCGTTTCACAAATTTATTCTACTGGAATTTTTACTTCCTTTAACTCAGAAATCTATGAATGTCAATGGAGACTTCTTTGTTCCAAGGGAATTCAAAAGCAGGCATGTGACAAAATTATTCCTCCTATACATCTGTCACGTGACTACTGATATCTCCTTGAAATAAAACAACTAATGATTGCGCTGAAACTTTCTTTTTCATTTGGTAGTACTAACATTTGAGCTCAAAGCTTTGTGCTTGGGAAGCAGGCACTCTCCCAGCCCGTTCTGCATCCCCTCGGTGTTCCATACTGTCCAGAAAGAGTAAGTACTCAGCCTTTTTCATGGAATTCTATTTTTGTGGTGAGAAACAGCATCACCTCTTGGCTTTAGTGTTTAGAAATTTATCTGAGGCTCCCTTCCTACCTGAGCAAAGTCTCATTATCAATTGCAGGTAAGATACTAGGACATCCCAGGGTTCTTTCCTGATTTCACAGCCTGTGTATGTGGATAGCCCTATGCAAGAGTGCATTACTCACTATGTACTCAGTATTTCCTTCAATATTTGTCCCATCACCCTATATAACCCCAAGAGAAACATTGCATATAACTTTTTACACCAAATGTCTGTAAGACAATACTGTCTTCACTATGGAAGTTGGCCTTACTTCAAATACACACCAATGTGCATATAGAAATATCAGACAGACAGAGTGATACCTTGCATGAAAAGAGGCACTGAGGGAGCTGCATTCCTGTCATATTCCCCTTCCCGTGGTTTCCTCATCTTCACCATAAATATTGTCTCTCTCTTTTTATATTTGTTTCTTTTTTGCTGGTCCTGGGGGTTGTCCCTAAGCTTTTCGTGCTCAAACCTAGTACACTACCACTTGAGCCGCAACTCCACTTCCAGCTTTTCAGTAGTTTATTGGAGATGATACATTATACAGGTCTCTGGGCATTCACACACAGGGAGACCAAAGAAGTATGTTCTCAGGAAAGGAACACAAAGGTATACCTTTACAATAACAGTTTTTAAAATGCATCTGCCCTGAAGTGAGATGTGAGAATGACATTCATGATCAAACTCTGCTTGTAGCAGTACTGATTAGGTCAATGAAAGCTTTCACTGATTGAAAATTCTCCTGCAAATCTTCAGTTTCCTCTCTCTCTACTGGCAACAGTATGTCACATAATTCTTGTCCCTGACTCAAGCTAATGATTAAATTTCCATAGCACCTTTCAGAATGTCTGGTGTTGAGAGCACTACGGGGAGTGGATAGACTTCATTTGGGGTTTCTGGTGCCACCTTCGAAGATCTTTGGATCTCATCTATCATGAAGGTTACTAAGAAAGATAGTTGCAGAAAATGGTGTAATAAATCAATTTCACATACCAGAAAGCCACAGACTGGCAGATCTTCACTAGCCATACAACAGACAAGGGCCTCATATCTAAAACATACTTACAGCTAAAGAAATTAAATTACCCAAAAAACCCAAAGTGGTCTATTAGTCTTCTCTAAAGAGGAAATAAGAATGGCCAAGTGTAACCAGGTGCCAGTGGCTCACGCCTGTAATCATAGCTCAGGAGGCTGAGATCTGAGTATTGAGGTTCAAAGCCAGCCCAGGCAGTAAAGTCCCATGAGACTTTGATCTCCAATAAACCACCAGAAAATCAGAAGTGGTACAGTAGCTCAAGGGGTAGAGCACTTGCTTTGAGCTGAAGAGCCAATAGACAGTGCCCAAGCCCAAAGTTCAAGCCCCACAACTGCAAAAAAAAAAAA